TACTGCCATACATACATATATAGGTGTACCTCAGTTTACCAACACCTCGGTTAACATCATTTTCAGTTTACGAACAAAAATCCATTGAAAATAATGCCTCGGTTTACAAATTTTTATGAATTTTTTTCGCAATACGTATATCCGTGCCAATTTTTAAATGCAATTGCCGGCTTTTTTTTTTTCTTCACTAAAGCTCACAGAATTAGCTGTCACTTCCTCCCGGAGTTAACGGAAACTTTGTTTCTTTTAACAAGCTGGGGGGAAACAGCTGAATTTCTGAGCTATAGTGAAGAGAAAAAAAAAGCAATAATTACATTAAAAAAGGGAACCATGATAAAAAAAAAAAACGGCGTGGGGTCCCCCCTCCCATCCATACCAAGCCCTTCAGTTCTGGTATTGATTTTGAGGGGAACTCCCATGCCAACATTTTTTTTAAAATGTTGCGAGGGTTCCCCCAAAATCCATACCAGACCCTTATCCGAGCATGCAGGTCAGGAAAGGGGGGGGCGAGTGAGTGCCCTCTCTCCTGAACCATACCAGGCCACATGGGGTGGTGCTTTGAGGCAGGCCCTTCCCCCCCCCCCCCCCCCCCCCTAAAGCACCTTGTCCCCATGTTGATGGGGACAAGGGTCTCTTCCCCACAACCCTGGCTGGTGGTTGTGGGGGTCTGTGGGCAGGGGGCTTTTCAGAATCTGGAAGCCCCCTTTTACAAGGGGGCCCCCAGATCCTGCCCCCTATGTGATTGAGTATGGGGTACATGGTCCTCATACTCATTCACAAAAAAACAAAAAGTGTAGTGTGAAAAAAGACAGGACACTGTCTTTGACAAGTCCTTTGTTAAAAGAAAAAACTAAGAGAATGTCCCCTGCAGTAGATCCAACGTCAGTCATGATGCCCGCCGCCGACCTGAAAAAAAGAATAAAAAAAAAACAGGCTCCACCCCCGACGATTGCTCCCGTTGTCTGTCTGCTGGTGGTTTGACACGTCTTAAGTAGGTAAGGGGCGGGGCCACCCAGGGATAGCACACATGTGACCCCACCCCATGTAACATCAATGATACATAGGGGGGCGGGATCTGGGGGCCCCTTGTCAAAGGGGGCTTTCAGATTCCGATAAGCTCCCTGCCCGCAGAACCCCACCAGCCAGGGTTGTGGAGAAGAGGCCCTTGTCCCCATCAACATGCCCCAAAGCAACCCCCCCCCCCCCCAATGTTGAGGGCATGTGGCCTGGTATGGTTCAGGAGAGGGGGGGCCTTCACTTGTGAACCCCCCCCTTCCTGACCTGCCGGGCTGCATGCTCGGATAAGGGTCTGGTATGGATGGGAGGGGGGACCCCACGCCGTTTATTTATTTTTTTAATTGGTGGCAATTCTTTTACATTCAGCTGTCAGCGGGGAACCCCGCTGACTGCTGAAACATCAACACATGGTTGTCACTACTAAAATACCGTATGACTTGATAAAATAACTCATGCGGCATTTTAGAAGTGTTTACTTTTTTCTGACCTCAGAAATGGATTAATTGGTTTTCAATGCATTCCTATGGGAAACAGCATTTCAATTTACAAATTTTTCGCTATACGAAAAGTCCCACAGAACGAATTAAATTCATAAACCGAAGTATGCCTGTACATTATGGTATTGAGGCTACAACCATGATCCTGGTACTGTTTTGTTTGTTTTTTTTTTTTTTTGTACTGCTGGCAATTCTATACATAAGTCATCCCAGCAGGTATATAGCACTAAAATCCATTCACTCTTGTGCGACTTGCCATGCGACATTGCCGCATGACAAGCTGCAAGCCATGTTTACCATTGAGTACCATTCAGATCTGTGTGACTTCAAGGCAGTTCCTGCACTACTTTGACACAACGTTTGATGCAACGTTAGTCCAGTGAATGTAAAGTCAGGTCAAAGTCGCACCACTTTGGAGACGTGCTAATGTGAATGGAGCCTTACTTGGTCTACGTTCACACCTATGTGTTTTCCTTTGCGTTTTGCAGAAATGCACAGGAGTCCATTTAACATGATTTCCATTAGGACAGGTTCACATCTCCGCGTTTTCACCCGGTGCGTTTTTTGTAAAGGGTCAGGGACTTTTTTAAACGCAAATGTTGCATTTTTGGTTCAATAGACTTCAATGGAGACGCTGCAGAAATGCATGTAGTGTGTTTTTGATGCGTTTTGCATTTTAATCTGCCCAGCAACAAGTTGGGGAAGAAAAATGCAAAAACGCACCGCACAAAGCACTGCAGAAACGGATCACATGCAAACTGCATAGGTGTGAACTCTCCTTCTGCCACCACCTTTACCAAGCTTTCCAATCAGCCTGGTAAGGATGCCACTGGCAGCATCAGCTTCCCCGGACACAATGAGAGGAACTGATCTTGTTCCTTCCACTGTGTGACATCAGATCTTAGTTTGAGCCGATGCTTTGAAGGCCAGAGGAGAGATCTGGGGTCTCATAGACCCCAGGATCTCTATAAAGAGGACCTGTTACTGCCTATGCTATCACAAGAAATGTTGTCATCCCTTGTGATAGCAATAAAAGTGATAAAAAAAAAAAAAATAACCAAAAATATATATATAAGATTTTAAAAAATGTTAAATTGCTCCCACACACGCATTGGTCCTGCACACATATGTACACCATGATCACACCACGCATGCGAGGTTTCGCTGTGAACATCAGAGTGAGAGAAATAATTCTAGCACCAGACCTCCTGTGTAACTCTAAACTGGTAACCTGTAAAGGCCTTTAAAGTGTCGCCTGGGGATAATTTAATGCACTGTAGTTTGTTGCCATTCTACGGGTGTACGCAAATTTAAAGCATAACATGTTTGGTATTTATTTACTAGGCATAACAATGTCTTTTAGATTTTACCAAAACGTTATGTGTCATATTGTGTTTGCGTGCAATAACATTTATGAAAGTGTATTTGTTCCAAAACAATGCCAACACCAACCATTTTATTCTCTAGGTTCTTTGCTTTAAAATATACATATACTGTTTGGGGGTTCTAAGTAATTTTTTAGCAAAAAAGAAAATGCAGGTTAAATTACATGGGAGATAAGTGTCAGAATTGGCCCCATGTTGAAATTGTTAAAGAGAAACTTTAACCCCTGCTGACTGACCCAAAAATTTTTTAACCACATATGGTGAGCTGAAGAGTGTACACCCTGTTCCAAATTATTATGCAAATTATATTTTTCTCATTTACCTAAATAATTGATGTAAATAACAGTCAGTATAATTCTCATGTTATCAACTAATAAGAGTACAATTCAAATTTTATTGAACAAACCTCCTAATAACAGGATTTTTTTTAAACATAAACCACTCACAATGCACTGTTCCAAATTATTACGCACAGTAAGTTTCAAAACACTTTATAGGTTGTACAGAACTGAAAATTGTCATTTGATGTGTTTGCAGCATATTTACTGAAATCAAAAGCTATTTCAATCAAACTTTTAACAACATTTTAACGTTTTAAATATTTTAACAGGTCACGTTACATTTTAACATAGGACCCCTTATTTGATAGCAGCTTCACAAGTCTTGCATCCATTGGACTTTTGAGTTTTTGGACAGTTTCTGCTTGAATTTGTTTGCAAGATGTCAGAATAGCCTCCCAGAGCTGCTGTTTGGATGTACACTGCCTCCCACCCTCATAGATCTTTTGCTTGAGGATGCTCCAAAGGTTCTCAATAGGATTGAGGTCAGGGGAGGATGGAGGCCACACCATGACTTTCTCTCCTTTTTATCCCCATAGCAGCCATTGATGCAGACGTATTCTTTGCAGCATGAGATGGTGCATTGTCATGCATGAAGATGATTTTATTACGGAAAGCATAGTTCTTCCTTCTGTACCAGGGAAGAAATGGTCAGTCATAAACTCCACATACTTTGCAGAGGTCATCTTTATACCTTCGGGGACCCTAAAGGGGCCGACCAGCTTTGTTCCCATGATTCCGTCCCAAAACATGACTTCGCCGCCTTGCTGACGTCGCAGCCTTGTTGGAACAGGGTGGCTGTCCACCAACCATCCACTACTCCATCCATCTGGACCATTCAGGGTTGTACGGCACTCATCAGTGAACAGGACTGTTTGAAAATTAGTCTTCATGTATTTTTCTGCCCAATGCAGCCATTTCTGCGTGTGAGCATTGGTTAGTGGTGGCCGAATAGAAGGTTTATGCACAGTTGCAAGACTAGAGGACTCTATACCTTGATGTCCGTGGGACTCCAGAGGCACCAGCAGCTTCAAATATCTGTTTGCTGCTATGTAATGGTATTTTTAGCAGCTGCTCTCTTGATCCGATGCATGGATCTGGCAGAAATCTTCCTCAAAGTGCCTTTATCTGCACGAACCCGCCTGTGCTCTGAATCAGCCACAAATCTCTTAATAGTGCGATGATCACGCTTAAGTTTTCTTGAAATATTTAATGTTTTCATACCTCGTCCAAGACATTGTACTATTTCACTCTTTTCGGCAGCAGAGATCCTTTTTCTTCCCCATATTGCTTGAAAATGTGGAACACCCTCCTTTAGTAATTTTTACTTAAATTGGGCTCATCTGCCAATCTAATTATCACAGGTGTCCGAGATTGTTTTTCAGTGATCAAAAGAGCCTTTAGGCTGGCCATACATTATACAATTATCTGGAGATTTTTGGTTTAGATTTACCAAAAATCATATAATTGGAGGACAAACCTAAACAACACTTTCAGTTGTATCCAATTAGGCAGGCCCTTGCACTACACAGTTGAAGGTAAATCTAAAAGAAATTGGGCAGAAAATTGGAAGATAAATTGTTTAATGTAAGACACAATGCCATCCATGAGTTAAACTGAAAAACAATATATTTATACTTTGTGACACTTAAATAGAATTTGCATAATAATTTGGAACACGGTGTATATGATAATCTCTTTTCCAAACAAGCAATCTTTTATCTGCAAGTTTTTCATGTTTGTTATTTGTTTTTCTTCTGCAGGTTATCTGGGACATTGTGGGAAATAAGCAGTTTTGCTCCTTTAAGATAAAGTAAGTACTGTAGGTATTCCCTGGGGTTCTGCAGCCTTTCATTTAAACAGGACTGGGATGAGTTGGATTGTCTGAGGTTAGCCTAGTTGACACGTCCAATATGTCACCATTACCCATGTGTTTCTGTGTCAAACTTTGGCATGATAATCCAGAAACGGATATTTCTGGATATCAAATAATATAGCACACAATTGTCAGTGACATGCTATTAAAGTGGTTCATAAAGAACTCACAAAGGACAGAGGGAAAGTATTTTTGCTATACAAAGTGGAACTCCTGGAAAAAATGATTTTTTTTTTTTCGTATGTTCTGTGTAAAAATCGGTTACCACGTATGATAATAATTCCATGTCTTCAGTGGTGCTCCATTCAAAAAAACTTTTCACTCTGATCACTGAATACAAGGTGTTCTATTAATGGATAATGGCCCATCCTGGTGGTTACCTACCCCTCCTCTCTCCTCGTCCATTCATAGGACACCTTGTATTCTGTGAAAAATAAAAATGCTAGGCCTGTTTTGAAAGGAGGAGGGGAAAAGAAGGGGAAAATGGATGACATGATCCCTACACTCTACACTAGCCTGAACTGCCAATCACAGCACTGGATTCAGAGTGCTGCCTGCAATATCTGGCCAGAATGAAACTCATTTCTACAGTACGCAGCAGCATTAAAGACAAAGGAATACCATTTATAGAGGCAACTTGTTTAACTGAACATTTTTTTTAAACACATTTTTTTTCCTGAAGTTCCATTTTAAAGTACAGTTCTCAAGAAAATGGGAACTGCCATTACTCTCCTGAAAATGCTGTCTGCCTAGCTTAGTCACTATCATCAACTGTTTCCAGGTCACTAAACCTGGGGAACAAAGATGATAAAAAGTCTGAGTAAAGTCATAATTCCTAAACTATATACTCCTGCCCGGGCAGTGGATTAAAATTCTGAAGGCAAAGCTGCAGGGTAACAGCCAAGAAATTAGCGATTTTAGAAAGAAGGGTCAGTAATAGCAGCATCCATGTTTCTGTCATGACATGTTTTCTTTTAAAAGCAGGCAGGGATTACTTGGAAGATACTTGTGTACAGTGAAGGGGTACATCTAATATACACTTGTAAAAGGACAGAAAACTTGGATCTGATCCACAGCGATGGCTACTTGGTAAACTCTGGGCTTTAGAAAGTTGAATTTTATAATTGAAAGTCTTTAACCGCTTCCCGCTCGCCCTATAAGGAAATGATGGGGGGGCGGTGGTTCTCTCATTCGGGGATGACGTCCCCCCCCCCCCCCCCCCCCCCCCTTTGCCAGCTGCACATGTGCTCCCCCAGGGGCACACAGAGATCGGTGGTATGCTGTGTCCCTGGGACACAGCGGATCACCGATCACTGTAAAGAGCCGATGACATAGGCTGTATCATGTAATCAGCTGTGTCCAATCACAGCTGTTTACATGTAAATAGGAAATGCCGGTTGTTGGCAGTCCTCTCCTCACGCTGACAGCGCATGAGGAGAGGATAGCCAGTAAGTGGCATTCCTCAGAAGGGATATCTACACTGATAAACAGGGCACTGATCATCAGTGTAGCCCCATCTGTGCCACCTGTTAGTGCCCATAACTGCCACCTGTCAGTGCCCATCAATACCACATATCAGTGCCTATCGGAGCTGCCTCTCAGTGTAACCTAACAGTTCTAGTCAGTGCTGCCCATCAGAGCCACACAGTGTCGCCTATCAGTGCCATATATTTATTTATTTCAGGTACTTATATAGCACCGTCAATTTACGCAGCGCTTTAAAACATATATATTGTACATTCACATCAGTCCCTAACCCTCAAGGGGTGTACAATCTAAGGTCCCTAACTTACATTCATACATACACACATATTAGGGCAATTTAGACAGGATCCAATTAACCTATCAACATATCTTTGGAGTATGGGAGGAAATCGGAGTATCCGGAGGAAAACCACACAGGCATAATGAGAAAATGCAAACTCCAGGCAAGTGGTGCCATGGCTGGGATTCGAACCAACGACCCAATACTGCCAGGCGGAAGTGCTAACCATTTAACCACTGTGCTGCCCATATATGAGTTTTGCCTGTCAATGCCCATCAGTGCAGCCTATCAGTGCCCATCACTGCAACCTCATTAGCGCACATTAGTGAAGCAGAAAAAATACTTATTTACAAAATTTATAACATAAACTAAGAAAACATTTTTTTTCTAAATTTTCAGTCTTTTTTTAGTTTGTTTAGCAAAAAAATAAAAAAACCCAGAGGTGATTAAATACCAACAAAAAGAAAGCTCTATCTGCCTCCAAAACAAAATGATAAAAATGTTATTTGTGTACAGTGTTGCATGACCACGCAATTGTCAATCAAAGTGCGACAGCGCTGAAAGCAGAAAAATTGGCCTGGGCAGGAAATGGGTAAAAGTGCCCTGTAGGCAAGTGGTTAAAAAACTTTAACTTTATTCTGAATCTGCAGCCATTTATAATTGTAACTTTTAAGGGTGCATTATTCAAGTAACTTTTACATCATTGGGGGGGGGCGGGCGTACTGTGATTGTGTACATAACACCAATGGAAACAGTGTATTGTGTGGCTGGCAAGAGGTGGATGCCTTTGACGTAATTTTAAACGTTTTGCTCTACAGGGACTGCAAGGGGCTGGTACCAAGTTAGATTTAGGTATTTGCACTGGTTGTATATAAAAACTACAATTAATAAACACAAAACTGGAGTTTAGCTTTACAGCTTTAAAAGGACAACTGCATCTTTGGTTCAAGTTGTACCTCTACCTAATGCAGACCCCCCTCCCCCCCCCCCTTCTCACTGAGTTCAACCCATCTGAACCCTTCATCTATGATTCAGTGGTTTTCATTGGTTTTCATTGTGCAGAGCCATCAGCACTGCACAGACTTGCGGTGTCCACTTCAGCCTGTGGATGCATGCCGCAGCCCTATTCAGACCTATGGGGAGAGCTGTGCTTTGCAAGGCCACTGGGGATTCCATAAGTATGGCTACCTATAGGAATGAATAGGACTGCTGCACAGTTGAAAGGTACAGACGTCCTTTAATACCACTTACTCCACCTATCCATTTTTGTGCAGCCATCTTTTTGACCTTTTATTTGCCTTAATACTCCAAGTAAGAGTAGAGCTGTAACAAGATGGCGCCTGAACAATTTACCATTGTTATTTGGTTCTTATATGTCGTTTTCAGGACTAAGACTCAAAATTTCTGTCGGAATGAATACAACATAACTGGTCAGTGTAATCGCTCCTCCTGTCCCCTCGCAAACAGCCAGTATGCCACCATTAAAGAAGAAAAAGGTGAGTATGTGAATTGCCCTTGTGTGCAGTTTTTACCTCTGAGCACAGCTTTGTGACTTTTTCAGTTCTCACTCGTTTCTCTTTATTGTTAGGTATCTGCTACTTGTACATGAAGACAATAGAAAGAGCAGCATTCCCAGCACGGATGTGGGAGAGGGTAAGTGCAGATGCCTGCTGGTTTAAATGCAGGTTTTGAACAATTAAAACATAAGCTGTATATCTCTGCACTACGTGGAAATTTTATCTCTCCTTAAATGCTGCGTGTACAGAAAAATATCTGGTAATCCTGCCAGAAATCTAGTACGCTTTTAACATTCTGTAGTGACCTGATTAACAATTCCTCTTCTGCATCCAACTAATTGTCAGTGCTGTCAGCCCTGTCAGGGTCTTCTCTGCTGGGCTACAGAACACCTCTTTCCTTTCCTTTCCTTGTCTTGATATCTGGAGGGATGGGTGTTCTGTAATCCAGCATAAGAAAACTCAGACAGGGTTGACAACACTGCTTGGCATATCAGTGCAGCAGACTGCTTACTACAGAATATCTGTTGATCCTGCCAGAAATTCAGTACGCTTTTAACATCCTGGTGTGACCTGTCTAAACAATTTATCTTCTGCAGTAAACTAATAATCAGTTTTGTCAGCCTTGCTTAGATCTCCTCTGTGGACTATAGAACACCCCTGCACTTCTTTAGCAAAAGGGGGAGGTGGAACAGAGCTGAAGCCTTTCAACAATCCACAGCCCAAGAAAAAGGTGCTCAGGCTAGAAAGTCCCTGGAAACCATCACAGCTATACAGTCCACAGGAAAAAGCCAGCATGTCAGCATAAACGGGTAATCCTTTTTTCATACATAGTGGATAGATGGTAATAAAAAGCCAACACATTTTGGCCCTAATCATGGCTGGCCATACACTATACAATTTTTTTTTATTCAATTTCCTTTAGATTTAACTTCAACTGTGTAGTGAAAGGGACCTGTTGATTGCTTACAAATTGAAAGTGTTTAGGTTTGACCTCATTATATGATTTTGGTAAATCTAAAGGAAAATTGTATAATGTATGGCCAGCCTAAGGGCTGAAATACATAGGTTTATTTTATTGGCTGCTCTCCACTATGGTTGAATAAAGGATTACCCGTTTGTGCTGACATGCTGCGGTGCTGGCTTTTTCCTGTGGACCCAAACTGGGGAGGTGTTCTGTAATCCAGCAGAGTTGAACTCAATAACACTGCTTGCGATATCAGTGTGCTGTCCGCTTACTACAGAATGTTGGACAACACTGGATTTTTTAATACTATGTCCTGATATCCACTTTACCATAACAACTTGTCTGCACTGTCCTTCCTATTATAAATTAGTAAGTTTGAGCTATTCCAGCATTCCCCCATGTGGAAACAGAATGTCCTTCAGAATGCAGGAAACTTTCCTTCAGGATTATTGTAGCTGAACCTGTTACATAGTCTGGTTGAAAAAAAAACAAATGTCCATCCAGTTCAACCATTAAAAAAAAAAAAAAAAAAAAAAAGTTATAATCCTATACCCACAGTTGATCCAGAGAAAGGCAAAAAAAAAAACCCCAGCAAAGCATGATCCAATTTGCACCTGCTGGAGAAAAAAAATTCCTCCCTGATCCCCCGAGAGGCAACTGGATATTCCCTGGATCAACTTTACCTATAAATGTTAGTAACCAGTTATATTCTGTGTATCTAAGAAAGAATCCAGGCTTTTTTTTTAAGCAATCCACTGAGCTGGCCAGAACCAACTCTTGAGGGAGTCTATTCCACATTTTCACAGCTCTCACTGTGAAGAAAAACCTTTCCGTGTTTGGAGATTCAATTTTCTTTTCCTCCAGACGTAAAGAGTGCCCCCTTGTCCTCTGTGATGACCTCGGTGAATAACTCTCCAACGAGTTCACTATATGAGCCACTGATGTATATATCGTTATATCTGATGTTGGTTTTCTTTATAGCCCTATGCTCTGTTAGCTGTTGTTGAAGCCAATACTAAGCACAAACAATTTAATAGTATTTCTTTAATGCCTTTAGTGGACTGTAAATGAACTTTGTGATGACAGAAATCATCCTCACGATAATATACATTTTCTCTTCTGTTTTCTTTTATGTGCGTTAATCCACAAAAGTCATAAACTTTTTCAAATGTGCTAGGCAATGAATGCGCTCTAATTAATAGGGTATGTGTCACCTTCTGTATTCCTCATACAATGGCATTGTAACATCTCTACTGAGTCAATTGGACAACAATTCACATCTTCAGGATTTGTGAATTGAAGGATTCTTGACACTAAGGTTGGGAATATGTAACTAGAACAGGATGGTTCCACAACTTTTTTACACCTCCAATCCTGTTCTTGGACAAACTGCATCTTCCTTGGCACATTTCTTGGTAATTAGACTAAAGGATAAGTTCACCTTTGAGAACATGTTACATGTTCCACCTGTTTTTAGGGTGAACATGTTCCCACTGCTGCAGTTGCCGCCCGCTGTCCTCTTTCCCTGTGACAGCGGTACCTGAGAAGTTCCCTATTAGCTGTCACTTTTTGAAAACTGCAGTTGTGCAGGGCTCCACCTTCTTGACCGTGTCATTCATTCACAGAGTTCTATGAATTAATGAACTACAAGTCTCAGCAGCCTTTTGTGGCTGTCAGCTTGTAGTTCTCAATGAGTTCCACAGCGCTGTGGCAGTTCATTGATTCTTCTTGTCATATTGTATCTGCTTGTCTGTATGAGGCACCAGCCTTGATGCATGGCACCAGCAATCTGCTGACCACTGGTTTTGTTGGAATGTTTTCTGGGCTCCAAGAAAAACAAATAGTAAATGCACATTTTTTTTTTTTTTTTTACCTGCAAAAAAATTGGCTTATTAAGTGAACTTTAAGGTATCCTTGCTACCAGTTGATGTATGTGCTGGGGTATTTACCTGACATTAGAACTGAAGATGTGGTATTGTGTAGAACTGAAGCTACATAATGGGGTTGATTTATTAAAACAGGAGAGTGTGAAAAATCTGGTGCAGCTCTGGGTAGAAACCAGTCAGCTTCCAGTTTTTTTGTCAAAGCCTTATTAAACAAGCTGAAGTTAGAAGCTGATTGGCTACCAGGTACAGCTGCACTAGATTTTGCACTCTCCAGTTTTAGTAAAACAACCCCAATATCTCAAATATAACGAAACAAGTCCAGCTGAATGTGACTAACTACTACTAGCTAAACCAGGGCTGTAGATAATTTTTTTTTGTGGGGTGGGCGGGGGGGGGGGGGGGGGGAGTTCAGCTCGCAGCTGCGGCGAGATCTGTCACCTGCTCTGTCCAGCAGACACAGCGGATGACCGCTCAGTGTACTGGCCTCTGCCCATACCATATAATCGCTGTGACCAAGCACAGCAGATCATATGACAGGTATACACAATGGATGGCATTCATTCATGCCATCCATTGTGTACTATTGTGTTGATCTCTGATTGGTCGCAGCAATCACATGGTATAGACAGTGCCAGTCACAACTAGCCACAATAGTAAACATTGATTAAATCAATTTCATTATTATTGCTCTAGTCACAGTGTGTTAAAAAAAAATTGTTAAAAAAAATTTGAAATACATTATGTATTTATTTTTTACGTGCTGGCACCAGTCAGAATCCCTGATCACAGCCACACCAGTTTTTATTTTTTAAAGTCTTCATTTTCCAAAAATTTGTTACAAAAAAAATTACAAATTCAAAAAACTTGCCATGCCTCTTACTAATTACCTCAGACTATCTACTTTTCAAAAAGAGGTCATTGGAGGTATTTCTCCTGTCCTGACATTTGGGGGGGTATTTGTCCTGACATTTGGGGGATATTTGCACGGTCCTGACATTTTGGGGGATATTTGCACGGTCCTGACATTTTGGGGGATATTTGCACGGTCCTGACATTTGGGGGATATTTGCACGGTCCTGACATTTTGGGGGATATTTGCACGGTCCTGACATTTTGGGGGATATTTGTACCGTCCTGACATTTTGGGGGATATTTGTACCGTTTCCTGACATTTTGGGGGATATTTGTACCGTCCTGACATTTTGGGGGATATTTGTACCGTCCTGACATTTAGGGGGGTATTTGTACCGTCCTGACATTTAGGGGGGTATTTGTACCGTCCTGACATTTAGGGGGGTATTTGTACCGTCCTGACATTTAGGGGGGTATTTGTACCGTCCTGACATTTAGGGGGATATTTGTACCGTCCTGACATTTTGGGGGGGGGGGGATTTGCACTGTCCTGACATTTGGGGAGAGAGGGAGAGATTTGTACAGACTACCCCTATAAATGGGGGGGTTCAGACCCCACTGCCCCCTCCTTATCTACGCCCCTGAGCTAAACCATTACCTTGACAACCGAGAACCTTTAGATGTATAGTGGTATTTTAACTACTGTTGGTTTGACGTGTGTGTGTGTGTGTGTGAAAGGTCACCTGGGGGACATTTTGATCTTCATACCATTGCTTCTCTATGGCAACTGGTATACAAGTCTTTTAGCCTGACATTCTCATAAAATGACCTGTATGGAGTCTCTTTTGGCACTCATCGAAATACATTTTCATTGCAGGTACGACTGAGCAAGAACTATGAGCAGGCTCTGGAACAGATAGATGAAAACCTCATCTACTGGCCACGATTCATCAGACATAAGTGCAAACAGAGATTTACCAAGATTACACAGTACCTGATCCGCATCCGCAAACTAACTCTCAAGAGGCAGTAAGTGAAAGCTAAAGTTTGTTAAAACAATACATGGGTGCTTGTCACACACAGGGATTAGCATTCTATTCTATGCTAGTATGCACCATATCAGTACATTATGTCACACTTGCCTAGCAAGGTAATCTTATCTCTTGTCAGCTCTCCTCTCCATTGTCCTCTGGGTTCTGGGTCTTTTGGCCTCCTGATTGACTGACTGGGCCTGAATAAAGTTAATCTCACATATCTGCATTGGATATTACTTTGTCCTGGCACAGAATCCTAAAAAAAAGCATTGATGGGCAGAGAGAGAAACATCTGTGACAGAAGAGCCATACACATGCCATCTCTCTTCTTTTATACAAACATCCTGTCTGTCATGATTTTTTTTTTTTTTATACAAAAGTAATTTTAGTTCCACTGCAACCATTTTGAGTAATGTAGAGGCATTGAAACTTGATAACATGCAGTGCTCTGAAAATCGAACTTTTTGGTCCTAAAGCACAATAGTGGAATTCTTGTTTTTATAATTTTCTAATTTTTGCTTACAGGAGGAAACTAGTCCCACTAAGCCGGAAAGTGGAAAGAAGAGAGAAGAGGAGAGAAGTAAGTTCATTATTGAAAATGTTTTGTTTTACTACATATTGTAAAGTGTTGTAGGAGGGTAGCTTTGAACAAGTGAAAAACTTAGTTTCCATGATGTAGTAGAAGGAGATAAAAGTGTTGCCTTGTTATATTGAAAGTGAGCATTTATTCCAAAGAAAGACTTGATTAGCATTTAGCATCATTCTAATCCTTCCCCTTGTTGTTATGAAGGGTTTTTTTTTTTTTTTTTGGGGGGGGGGGGGGTGGCCCTGGGAGCTACTTTTCTAACTAAGGTGAAGATGAATCTGCTCCTGGCCAACTCACCTCCTTGCTTGACAATCAACACAGAGCTCAGAACAGAGAGAACAATCTCTCTGTTTCTCATCCCTGCAAGGGAATGAGAAACTGATAGGTCGCTTAGTATAAACAGCCCACTTTGCACATAGTTAGGCACACATTTAACCCCTTGATAGCCCTAGATGTTAACCCCTTCCCAACCAGCATCATTCATACGGTGACAGTATATAATATCAATGATCACTGTATTAATGTCACTTGTGATGTCAGTGGCAGTTAGTCAATTCTCTCTAGTGTCAGCTAGTGTCAGATTGTCCGCTGCACTATCGCAGTCCCATTATAAGTCACTGATCACTACCATTAGTAGTATAAAAAAAATTTCCAGTATATATACCATAGTTTGTAGGCGCTATAACTTTCATGCAAACCCATCAATATACACTTATTGGGATGTAAGACATGTAAGAGAATACATTTTTTTGTAAGAATTTAGTTTTTTTTTTTATTCAAAATGTTTGGTCTTTTTTCGTTTTATATTGCAAAAAATAAAAAACTCAGTGGTGATCAAATAACAGCAAAAGAAAATTATATTTGTGCGAAACAAATGATGGAAATTTTGTTTGGGTACAGCACTGCATGAGTGCTCGATTACAAGCTAAAGTAGCGCTGTGCTAAATAGCAGAAAATGGCCTGGTCAAAATTTTCCAGAGCTTAAGTGGTTTAAAATCCTACATTTCCTTCAGACTGACATGGATCTGTAAACACTGTTTGAATAAATACAGTGGGTATAGAAAACAAAAATCCCTTTTAGCAGAGGTTTCATGACCAGCTGCTTAGGCAATGAACTGGTGTGACTATCTGACCACCATGGGATCCTGGAGCATTGGTTTATGCAACAAAAGTAAAAGCGTCTTATTTATTTATTTTTTTAGCATTCATTAGTTTTAGGGAAGTTGATTAAAGGTCAGTTGAACTTCAGATAGATATAAGAAATACCTGTCAATACAGTTGTGTCCATTAAGAAATTATTATTTATTCAATTGCTGCTAAAGAATGATCGTTGCTGTCTTTTATTATATGTGTGGATATCACTGTACACCTTTATGATAATACCTTTTTCTCTGATCACAGGAAAAAGCCCTGGTAGCTGCTCAGCTGGACAACGCTATAGAGAAAGAACTGCTTGAGCGTCTCAAACAAGGAACGGTAAGATATACTACTTGGGGGAACAGCTGACTTTCTGGGGAAGTGACTACAAATCATTGTTGTATAGTAAGAGTTACCCACCTTTTTGTCAGTTTATGAACCATATTATATACCAAATAGTAAGAAATAAAATGTCCTAAAGAAAGCTTTATTCATGATCAGGTTCTATATCCTGAAGTGGTGATGTAATTTGGACAACTACTGCTTTGCCTTGTTTGTGGTAACTGTGTTCAAATAGACAAATGTTGAGAAACAAACAGTTGTCTGAGATTTGCATCCATCTCAGGAGCTTCTGAGTGAGGACTACAGTGTTGGAGAACACAGCCTGTGATGGCAATGTTTTGGCCACATTGATAAAAGCATAACACTTCCTCTAGTGGCTAATCTACACATCTGTATACTTATTACAATAACAAAAATGAAGGAGAGGAAACTTGTGAAAATTACCATCAAAATTAATTTAGGTAGATGCTGCAGTAAGAATTCCAAAGGGACAAATTTTGGGGAAGTGGATATGACATTTACCAAACATTCAATGCAGGTGAATCAATTACTATAACTTAACCCCTTGACACCGACGTCACACAAATATGTGGCCTCACAGAACTGGGCTTTTTTCTGTGGGGCCGCATATTTACATACCTGTCTTTTTGCTGGGAGTGCGCCGCACAGTGCGCCCCCCAGCACAAAGACCAGGGTGTCACTGAGAGCCCTGGGTCCCGTTCTAACGATCAAGACCCGAGTCTCCCGATGCCGGGTCACATGATCACTGTGATAGCCTCTGATTGGCTGTCACTTTGTTAAAAAAAAAATACCTAGATCAAGGTTTGATCTAGTTCAGTGTCAGGGTTAGTGTTTGGGTCACGGTCAAAGGTTAGGGTTTTTTTTTTTTTTTTTTTTTTTTTTTAATTGGTATCGGTGTCAGTGTGTTTTAGGTAAAAAACAAAATGTGCACTATTGTTTCTGGGCTGTACTACGGGTACATACAACAAATAACATACACATCTATGGTATCACTACGATCGCCAAGAGCTGAAAAATGTATTTTGGGTTGTTCTTTGGTGTTAGGTTATGGTAGTTTTCTTTTACTATTTTGGGCCAGTTTTCCTTTTGATAAGAAAAAATTTCAGGAGATATCCATTACCACATACTAACAAATGAAAGCCCAATTTGTCCTGAAAACAACAATGTATAATTCACCTGGATGTACAAAGTAGTTGTGATATGTACGGTTTCGGTTTACTAACACAAGTCAACGTTGCAAACTTGTGTTTAGGCATTAAGATTTGTTTTACTATTAGGCGTGAAGGAGTTAAAGCACATGCACCAGGAACATACGCCTACACTGAATGTTTGATAAATGTCACATGTACTGCTTAATAAATGCACCCTAAAAGCATGTGTATGTACGCCGATCAGCCATAACTTTATGATCACCGACAGGTTAAGTGAACAACATTTATAATCCTATTAGAATGGCATCTGAAAGTCAATGGGATATATTGGACAGCAAGTAGACATGTTGTCTCTGACGTTGATGCATTGAAAGCAGAAAAAGTGGGCATCGCAGTTCGTTGTGTATGGGGCCGTATAGCTGCAGACTGGTCAGGGTATACGTGCTGACCAGTGCCCACAGCCAAAAGTGCCTACAATGGGCATGTGAGCATCAGAACTGGACCACCGAGCAATGGAAGGTGGCCTGTTCTGATGAATCATGTGGATGTCTGGGTGCTTCACCTAGGGAAGAAATTACATCAAGATGCATTATGGGAAGAAGGCAAGCCAGCAGAGGCAGTGTGATGGTTTGGACAATGTGCTGCTGGGAAGCTGGGAAACTTTGGGTCCTGCCATTCATGTGGATGTTAATTGACGTGTACCACCTACCTAAACTTTGTTGCTGACCAAGTACACCCCTTCATGGAAATGGTATTCCCTGATGGCAGTGGCCTCTTTTAGCAGGATAATGTGCACTGTCACACTGCAAAAATGGTTCTAGAATAGTTTAAGGAACACAACGAGAAGTTTGAAGTGTTGACTTCAAATTCTCCAGATCTAACTCCAATTGTGTATCTGGGGGGTGTGCTGGGAAAAAAAAGTCTGACCCATGGAGGCCCCATCTTGCAACATACAGAACTTAAAGGATCTATTGCTAACAGCTTGTTGTCAGTTTCCAGAGCATACCTTCAGAGGTCTAGTGGCTTCCCTGCCAAGATTGTATATTTTACACACACACCTTGTATTTAGAAATGTGATGCTGTGAATTTTTGATCAGATGTGGAATATTCCTATAGCAGCTTGCTTCCTATATATTACAATTCTACTCTGCCTGAGTGATGCCATGTCACCTAATGATTCTCTTCTCTCCCCACAGTATGGAGACATTTACAACTTCCCCATCCAAGCCTTCGACAAAGCTCTGGAGCAGCAGGAAGCACCAAGTGAATCTGAGTCCTCAGAAGAAGAGGAGGAGAATGAAGAAGATGAAGTATGTATCTTTAAATAAAACTAACATAAATGGCTTACTTCCACTTATGTCAGCCATACACAGTCATGTTAAATGGATGTTAACTGCTCTTTATTACCCCCATGTGCTGGAGTACACTTCTTTTTAATTTAGTTACAATGGGAATGCATGTAGAAAGTAACTGCAGAAACACACTTATGCACATATAAAACACCTTATAATGCAGAGCTCAACAAATCCCAGCTCGCCATGGCCACTAGAAATTGCGTCCTGGTGTGGGTTCACACACTGCCTCCCACAGACTCCAGTGGGAAATCGCTCCTCACGGACTCCAATGGGAAAAACCCTGTCAGGGTTCAGCCTGCAGGTTACACAAAACTGCTCTACTGCTACCACTGCCCCTATATAAGTCAAATCTTTTATATTTGTACTCCCTGCGGCTACATTTGATATTACTTTTAGCACAATCATTTGTTAAAAATCAGAGATAGAGAAACAGAAATGGACAGCACAGAAAAAAGTAAGATATTGTGACCAAAATAAACCAAATAAACTTCTGCAAGCCACGACATTTTTCCATTTACTGCCTTCGGTAAACACCAAGACAGAATATAGTCTGCAGGGGCCCCTGTGGGCTGAAAAGTAAGTGGGGGTGAACTAGGCTGAGAAAAATGCAGTTCTCCCTCTAGTGGTCATTAGTTACAAAGTCACAAATCCTATTAATTGCACACTGGAGTAAAAAAATGCTAAGTTTTTTACTGATCTAAAATGAAATGCATTGTTGTCTATGGGTCAATGCACACAGCTGAAATAAGATCAGTAATACAGCTATAAGTACAGTGCAGTAAAACAAAAATGAAAAATTTTGAGTGCAGTAATTTGCTCACGTGTTTACTTGTTTTGGCCCCTTACACACAGGCATCAGAAGAAATCTTCTCATTTATACAATACTAGCAAGGAATTTTACTAGTTTATACTCATCTATATGCTTACACACCTTAACTCGACTATACTCCACATTACTTTAGGTTTTTACACCCAGTTTTTGGACCTTTGCACATGAGCGGCACAAGTTCCTGAGTAAACATCAGTAAATTATGACGTCCATATGCAAGAGGCTTTAGGCAGTAGTAAACTCCGCTTTATGACTTGTCCTACAGGTTGTCCCAATAAGGCTTACCCGTAAGTACAGTGAACATCTCATAAATGTGTACCTTTTAGGAGATATTCACATTTGTAGTGACTGGTAATGTCATCGGCGCATATGCACCGCGCTTGTGAATTGGATGGCACACTAGAGTATGCCGTCCTTTGTGAGAGCACTGTGCCACGACCATGTCTCTCGTGCGCATGCACAGGAATGATGTCATTGCTGCCTGGCCATTTAAACATCAGTGCATACTAGCACATTATTACTTGAAACCGCCTCTGGCCCAATTTGTTCTTCTTTTTTTTGTTTTAATTTGTCAAAGTTTATCACAGCTTTAAAAAGGTAAAGATTGTAATCAAGTTTCATAACATTTCCTCCTGAAAATACCCTATATTATATTTTTTAAACCACTAAAGGAAAAACTTTTTTAGTTTTAGATAGGGTGTAGAGCAGTTAGAATATCTGTCAGATTTTTATTGCTGTCTGTGTCCCTGTTAGGAAGATTCATCCTCTCTATGTCTTCTGATTATCATTGAAAGTAAAAAAAAATCCCAAATTTGGTTTGTCCCCAGAACAGTAATAGAGGGGAAATCGTCCAGTAGGAACACTGGTCCTGGAGGGCCCAAGGTTCCTTTAGTTTGTGGGGATTTCCTTTCACTTCCTGTGTTGGCTATGGGACAGAATGTGAATCTAAGTCTCCCCAATAGGACACAGATGGCAAAAAAACTGACACGGGTTCTTACCATCGCTTACTTTATCCAGAATGAGAAAAAAAAACGTTTTTCCTATAGTTCTACTTTGAATCAAAGTATACATTACAAAAAGATGTCCCTTGAATAGATAATATACTGGCATAGTGTGTTATATAAAAATGTGAGCATTCTGTCCATTAATGGCACCCTGTTTACATCCCCAATGTTCCCTGCCATGCTGGCCTTGCACAGAATCGACAGATAAAGGATTAATGTCTTCTTTAAAAAGGTACACATCCATATTTTAATTTTGTTAGCATAGCCTATTGTGAAGGCAACTTTCCTTTTCATTCACACTTTAGCTTTTCTAAATGCAGGATACTTTTGACCTGGGAAGTATAAACAACTTTTATTCCTCCTAGATCACTTTTTTCTGCATTTTAGATGTTCCTGCTTTATAGCAGTTTTATCCACGTTTAAATGCATTTTGCTTCATTTATAGTGTCCAATTGGATCCTGGATGCACAGAATTCTATTTTCTCTAAACGCAGCTAACCTGACTGCACATAAACACAGGCGCATAAACACAGTGTGAACGGCACCATTGCAAATGTATTACATGCATTTATAAATATCCTCTAAAGGCATATAAATGAAGGTTCCACAGTGCTAGTGTGAATAAGGCCTTACTCCTGTCTTTTAAGGCTCCTTGCATGCAGAGTTGTTTAAGGAGCAGTGCGTCCCTTCTAGCATTTTAGTGCCACCCGGGTGGGAAGAGTGCAGCGTCCAGCCCTACTGTAGCCTGTCGAAGACCTTTATCTCTGAATACATAGGGCTCTAAACATGTGTTCCAATCAATGCAGCATTGAGTCCCGTCCTGCTGCAGCCTGCATAGACTTTTAATAGGCAGCCTGCAGCAGGACTGGACACTACACCTGTCCCATTCAGTTGCAATAAAATTCTGGGGGGAACTCACAGCTCCTAGATGGCCCCATTTGCAAGGGGTCTAACTCTGCAATTCTTCTGTCTTCAAAGCGCTTGGGTTTCATTGTATATTTTGTCCTGTTTTCAGGAGAGTGGCAAGAGAGAGTTTGTGGAAGATGAAGATGTGGAGGAAAGCGACATCAGTGATTTTGAAGTAAGTTTTAAAGTCTTATAATTGGAGTGTGGCATGTGTGTATATATACTGCACCCTGGTTTTCTTCTTCCACTTTAAATAGAAACTGTTTAGCTACTTAGGTGATAAACCCTATGATGTGCTATTTGCTAGAAGACCCTGTTTTGTTTTGGTTTTTTTTAAATCGATGTACTGTATCAATAGAAGAGCAGCATTGTCACCTTTAAGATGGTGCTACAGTACACCTCCTCTCCATAACATAGGATGAAGGTGTTCTGTAGTCTTCAGATAGCTGGGAACGATTCTAATTAATAACAGCGCAGCAGAAACTCAGCACATGAAGTTCCACACTCACTGAATTTATGGAAGGATCAACCGTTTTTTTTGTTTTGTTTTTTTGTACTTATAGAACAATGTAACAAACCCCTTTCAGTGATATTTTTTAATGGACCAAAAGAAAGCAATTAAGAAAAGTTCATTGTTACTGTTTATGCTTAAAACAACTGCAGGGATTTTGATGATTTGCTACTGATTCCAGTAGAAGTTTCATTCAGCCTCGCTTCTGTACAGCGTTAAAACACAGTATGAAGCTTGGTGAAATCGAACACTCCCATTAGTGCCGGTTCACATATATGCAGATTGGATGCGGTTTGAATCCCATTCAATCTGCATGACGTGAGGTAACATTGCGTTCTTTGGTGCCTGCTCACATACAGTTATATCCATATATATTTGGAAACAGGCACAATTTTATTTTTTTCAGTTATTTACCAAAACATAACGGATATGGGCTGAAAGTGCACACTCTCAGGTTTAATTTGATGAGGGTATGTACATTCAAATTGGAGGAAGGTTTTAGGAATTACAGCTCATAAAATTAGCCATCCCTCTTTTTCAAGGGACCAAAAGTAATTGGACAATTGAATCAAAAGCTGTTTCATGGCCAGGTGTGGGCTACTCCTTCGTTATTTCTTCAATTAAGCAGGTAAAAGGTCTGGAGTTGATTCTACAGTCAGGTCCATAAATATTGGGACATCGACACAATTCTAACATTTTTGGCTCTATACACCACCACAATGGATTTGAAATGAAATGAACAAGATGCGCTTTAACTGCAGACTGTCAGCTTTAATTTGAGTGTATTTACATAAAAAATCAGGTGAACGGTGTAGGAATTGCAACAGTTTGCATATGTGCCTCCCACTTATTAAGGGACCAAAAGTAATGGGACAGAATATTAATCATAAATCAAACTTTCACTTTTTAATACTTGGTTGCAAATCCTTTGCAGTCAATTACAGCCTGAAGTCTGCAACGCATAGACATCACCAGACGCTGGGTTTCATCCCTGGTGATGCTCTGCCAGGCCTCTCCTGCAACTGTCTTCAGTTCCTGCTTGTTCTTGGGGCATTTTCCCTTCAGTTTTGTCTTCAGCAAGTGAAATGCATGCTCAAAGGGATTCAGATAAGGTGATTGACTTAGCCATTGCATAACATTCCACTTCTTTCCCTTAAACTCTTTGGTTGCTTTTGCAGTATGCTTTGGGTCATTGTCCATCTGCACTGTGAAGCAGCGTCCAATGAGTTGTGAAGCATTTGGCTGAATATGAGCAGATATTGCCCGAAACACTTCAGAATTCATCCTGCTGCTTTTGTCAGCAGTCACATCATCAATAAATTCAAGAGAACCAGTTCCATTGGCAGCCATACATGCCCACGCCATGACACTACCACCACCATGCTTCACTGATGAGGTGGTATGCTTAGGATCATGAGCAGTTCCTTTCCTTCTCCATACTCTTCTCTTCCCATCACTCTTGTACAAGTTGATATTGGTCTCATCTGTCCATAGGATGTTGTTCCAGAACTGTGAAGGCTTTTTTAGATGTCGTTTGGCAAACTCTAATCTGGCCTTCCTGTTTTTGAGGCTCACCAATGGTTTACATCTTGTGGTGAACCCTCTGTATTCACTCTGGTGAAGTGTTCTCTTGATTGTTGACTTTGACACACATACACCTACCTCCTGGAGAGTGTTCTTGATCTGGCCAACTGTTGTGAAGGGTGTTTTTCTTCACCAGGGAAAGAATTCTTCAGTCATCCACCACAGTTGTTTTCCATGGTCTTTCGGGTCTTTTGGTGTTGCTGAGCTCACCGGTGCGTTCGTTCTTTTTAAGAATGTTCCAAACAGTTGTTTTGGCCATGCCTAATGTTTTTGCTATCTCTCTGATGGGTTTGTTTTGTTTTTTCAGCCTAATGATAGCTTGCTTCACTGATAGTGACAGCTCTTTGGATCTCATCTTGAGAGTTGACAGCAACAGATTCCAAATGCAAATAGCACACTTGAAATGAACTCTGGACCTTTTATCTGCCCATTGTAATTGGGATAATGAGGGAATAACACACCTGGCCATGGAACAGCTGAGAAGCCAATTGTCCCATTACTTTTGGTCCCTTAATAAGTGGGAGGCACATATGCAAACTGTTGTAATTCCTACACCGTTCACCTGATTTGGATGTAAATACCCTCAAATTAAAGCGGACAGTCTGCAGTTAAAGCACATCTTGTTCGTTTCATTTCAAATCCATTGTGGTGGTGTATAGAGCCAAAAATGTTAGAATTGTGTCGATGTCCCAATATTTATGGACCTGACTGTAAGTGTGGTATTTGCATTTGGAATCTATTGCTGTGAACCTACATCATACGTTCAAGGGAGCTGTCCATGTAAGTGAAACAGTTCATTGTAAGGCTTCAAAAAGTAAACAAATCCATCAGAGAGATAGCAGCAACATTAGGAGTGGCCAAATCAACAGTTGGTACATTCTGAGGAAAGAAGAAAGTACTGGTGACTTCAGCAACATAAAAAGGCATGGACGTCCACTGAAGACAACAGTGGTCGATGATCGCAGGATCCTCTTTATGGTAAAGAAAAACCCATTCACAACACCCAGACAAGTGAAGGACACTCTCCAGGAGGTGGGTGTATCATTGTCAAAGTCTACAATCAAGAGAAGACTTCACGATAGCAAATACAGAGGGTTCACCACAAGGTGCAAACCATTCATAAGCCTAAAGAATAGAAAAGCCAGATTAGACTTTGCCAAAAAACACCTAAAAAAAGCCAGACCAGTTCTGGAAAAGCATTCTTTGGATGAAACTAAGATTAATCTGTACCAGAATGATGGGAAGAAAAAAGTGTGGAGAAGGCTTGGAACAGCTCATGATCCAAAGCACACAATGTCATTGGTACAACATGGTGGAGGCAGTGTGATGGCATGGGCATGCATGGCTTCCAGTAGCACTGGGTCACTGGTGTTTATTGATGATGTGACAGAAGACAGAAGCAGCCGGATGAATTCTGCAGTGCTTAGAGATATACTGTCAGCCCAGATTGTTGATTGGACGGCGCTTCACAGTACAGATGGACAATGATCCAAAACACACTGCAAAAGCAACCCAGGAGCTTTTGAAGGAAAGGAAGTGGAATATTCTGCAATGGCCGAGTCAATCACCTGATCTCAAACAAATTGAGCATGTATTTCACTTGCTGAAGGCAAAACTAAAGGCAGAAAGACCCACAAACAAAGAGCTGCAGTTAGAGCCTGGCAAAGCATCAGAAAGGAGGAAACCCAGTCCTTGGTAATGTCCATGGGTTCCAGACTTCAGGCAGTCATGGCCAGTAAAGGATTCTCAACAAAACATAAATAAAATGTGCATTTTTAATAATTATATTCAATTGTCCAATTACTTTTGGTCCCTTGAAAAAGGGGGGTACGGCTACTTTTAAGAGCTGTAATTCCTAAATTCTTCCTCCAATTTGGATGTACATACCCTCAAATTAAACCTGAGAGTGTGAACTTTCAGCCCATATCCATTATATAACTATAGCTTGAATATGCTTTGGTAAATACCTGAAAAAAAACTAAAATTGTGCCTGTGTCCAAATATATATGGACCTAACTGTATGTCCAGTGCATCGGCAGTGTGGATTCAGTGCTGATTGAAAGAATCCTGTTTGATTTCTGAGTAGTCCGGTTCAGATGCGGATTACAGGCTATTGACTTATATGGGAACTGCTTCTGAATCGCACATGTCATCAATTGTGAACAGGACTTCATTTCAGGATCAGGTTTCGGCACAGTTTGCTCTCCTGCCCCCCTCTTCTCCACCTCAGCAAAACCAAAAAAAAGCCTTGTAAAACCAAACTGGCTCTGAACCTGTAGACAGTACAATCTGCAGCTTTGTCACAAAACACGGTCTTAAAAGGGCCCTGAACCGCTGAATAAGTAAATTGCAATCTGCACTTGAAATCTGGAACACACGTGTGAATCAGCAAAGTGGAAGTGGTTTTCTTTTCCAAAAAAATGTGCATTTCTTCAAGCACCGCAAAGTTAGTGATCTGACTTCTCTCTACTGCAGTTTACTGATACAGCTAGGTCAGCTCCCTGTCACCAGGCTGTATTTTGTTTTTTTATATATATATATATATATATATATATATATATATACAGTCAGGTCCATAAATATTGGGACATCAACACAATTCTAACATTTTTGGCTCTATACACCACCACAATGGATTTGAAATGAAACAAACAAGATGTGCTTTAACTGCAGACTGTCAGCTTTAATTTGAGGGTATTTACATCCAATCAGGTGAACGGTGTAGGAATTACAACAGTTTGCATATGTGCCTCCCACTTCTTAAGGGACCAAAAGTAATGGGACAATTGGCTTCTCAGCTGTTCCATGGCCAGGTGTGTGTTATTCCTTCATTATCCCAATTACAATGAGCAGATAAAAGGTCCAGAGTTCATTTCAAGTGTGCTATTTGCATTGGAATCTGTTGCTGTCAACTCTGAAGATGAGATCCAAAGAGCTGTCACTATCAGTGAAGCAAGCCATCATTAGGCTGAAAAAACAAATCAAACCCATCAGAGAGATAGCAAAAAAATTAGGCGTGGCCAAAACAACTGTTTGGAACATTCTTAAAAAGAAGGAACGCACCGGTGAGCTCAGCAACACCAAAAGACCCGGAAGACCACGGAAAACAACTGTGGTGGATGACCGAAGAATTCTTTCCCTGGTAAAGAAAACACCCTTCACAACAGTTGGCCAGATCAAGAACACTCTCCAGGAGGTAGGTGTATGTGTGTCAAAGTCAACAATCAAGAGAAGACTTCACCAGAGTGAATACAGAGGGTTCACCACAAGATGGAAACCATTGGTGAGCCTCAAAAACAGGAAGGCCAGATTAGAATTTGCCAAACGACATCTAAAACAGCCTTCACAGTTCTGGAACAACATCCTATGGACAGAGGAGACCAAGATCAACTTGTACCAGAGTGATGGGAAGAGAAGAGTATGGAGAAGGAAAGGAACTGCTTATGATCCTAAGCATACCACCTCATCAGTGAAGCATGGTGGTGGTAGTGTCATGGCGTGGGCATGTATGGCTGCCAATGGAACTGCTTCTCTTGTATTTATTGATGATGTGACTGCTGACAAAAGCAGCAGGATGAATTCTGAAGTGTTTCAGGCAATATTATCTGCTCCTATTCAGCCAAATGCTTCAGAACTCATTGGACGCCGCTTCACAGTGCAGATGGACAATGACCCAAAGCATACTGCAACAGCAACCAAAGAGTTTTTTTTAAGGGAAAGAAGTGGAATGTTATGTAATGGCCAAGTCAATCACCTGACCTGAATCCGATTGAGCATGCATTTCACTTGCTGAAGACAAAACTGAAGGGAAAATGCCCCAAGAACAAGCAGGAACTGAAGACAGTTGCAGTAGAGGCCTGGCAGAGCATCACCAGGGATGAAACCCAGCGTCTGGTGATGTCTATGCGTTCCAGACTTCAGGCTGTAATTGACTGCAAAGGATTTGCAACAAAGTATTAAAAAGTGAAAGTTTGATTTAGGATTATTATTCTGTCCCATTACTTTTGGTCCCTTAAGAAGTGGGAGGCACATATGCAAACTGTTGTAATTCCTACGCCGTTCACCTGATTTTTATGTAAATACCCTCAAATTAAAGCTGACAGTCTGCAGTTAAAGCACATCTTGTTTTTTCATTTGAAATCCATTGTGGTGGTGTATAGAGCCAAAAATGTTAGAATTGTGTCGATGTCCCAATATTTATGGACCTGACTGTGTGTATGTGTGTGTATATATGTATATGTGTGTATATATATATATATATATATATATTTTGCCTGGAGTTCTGCTTTAACCACCATAAATGTAAAGCTTTTGAAGCCTGTTTGAACTCGGGATATATAATTTGAGGGGTGCTCTTTATATTTATGTGGTCTAGCTGGATGTGAAACACTGCTTTAGAAAATAAATGTAAATGATTTGCCATCTGCAAAAATTAGAATTCTTGAATCTGATTTATTTATTTATTTATTTTTTTTTTTTTTTAACAGGACATGGACAAATTAGATGACAGCAGCGATGAAGAAAAGGAAACTAGTGAAGAAGAGGGATTGGAGGAGGAGGATGAAAAGGCAAAGAATACAAGAGGAAAGTCGAAAGGCAAGATTCCTGTGAAAGGTCCAATGCAAAAGAAAAGAGCTTATGTGGAAATAGAATATGAACAAGAGACTGAGCCACAGCAGAAAATTAAATCCACTTGACCAGGACTGTTTTAGTAACTTCTTTTGAACTTTTTTTTTTTCTTCTAAATAAACCCCTTACCCACATAGAGATTCGTTTCCATATCTTGCCCTGTGGATCATACTGGATCCAAGGGTTGACTCGCCCTGGAGTTATCTTTAGTGTCTTCTTTTTATATAATTTTATTTTTTAATATGAATTGTTCATGCTTTTAACTTTACTGTGCTCAGTTATGCCTATGCAATGTTCTGTCAGGATGTTATTGCTTACATCTCTCTGTTAGAGTGCCACTGGAGGCCCAAAATCTTGAGCGTTTCATTATTCAAATGCCAACTAACCCTCGGTTCACATCTGTGTGGGTGGTGCCGCTGCGGATTCGCACGAAAATCCATGCAGCTGCACCACCTGCACAGAAATGCGGACCCGCGGGCGGGCTGCGTTTTCCAAAGAAGTGCAGGGACTTCTTCCCTGCGTGTCACGGGCACGGGAGTCCATTCAAATAAATGGGCTCTTGTGCCCGTGCAAAACGCGGCCCGCACGGCCGCATAGATGTGAACCAGGGGTAACACTGGCAAGTCAAATCATGGTCCTAAGATTAGTCGGTGAATCAGCTCATTAGATTAATGTGCCATTCATTAGACATTGAGGGGTTTATTTACTAAAGCTGGAGAGTGCAAAATCAGACTCACTTCTACATAGAAACCAATCAGCTTCCAGGTTTCATTGCCAAAGCTTCATTGAACAAGCTGAGGTTAGAAGCTGATTGGTTTCTATGCAGAAGGGAGTCTGATTTTGGACTCTCCAGCTTTAGTAAATAAACCCCTGAATGCTCAAGAGCTGACTTCCAAAATATATATTTGAATATACACCCTGTTCCAAAATATTATGCTAATTATATTTTTTCTCATTTACCTAAATAATTGATGTAAATAACAGTCAGCATAATTCTCATGTTATCAACTATTAAGAGTACAATTCACATTTTATTGAACAAACCTCCTAATAACAGTATTTTTTTTTTAAACAAAAAACTTATAATGCACTGTTCCAAATTTATGCACAGTAAGTTTCAAAACACTTTATAGGTTGTAAAGAACTGAAAATTGTCATTTGTTGTGTTTGCAGCATATTTACTGAAATCAAAAGCTATTTCAATCAAACTTTTAACAACGTTAACTTTTTAAGCATTTTAACAGGTCATTGAACTTGTGAGTTTTTGGACAGTTTCTGCTTGAATTTGTTTGCAAGATGTCAGAATAGCCTCCCAGAGCTGCTGTTTGGATGTAAACTGCCTCCCACCCTCATAGATCTTTTCCTTGAGGATGCTCCAAAGGTTCCCAATAGGATTGAGGTCAGGGGATGATGGAGGCCACACCATGACTTTCTCTCCTTTTATCCCCATAGCAGCCATTGATGCAGAGGTATTCTTTGCAGCATGAGATGGTGCATTGTCATGCATGAAGATGATTTTATTATGGAAAGCATAGTTCTTCCTTCTGTACCAGGGAAGAAAGTGGTCAGTCATAAACTCCACATACTTTGCAGAGGTCATCCTTACACCCTCGGGGGCCCTAAAGGGGCCGACCAGCTCTGTTCCCATGATTCTGGCCCAAAACATGACTCCACCACCGCCTTGCTGACGTCGCAGCCTTGTTGGAACAGGGTGGCCGTCCACCAACCATCCACTACTCTATCCATCTAGACCATCCAGGGTTGCATGATACTCATCAGTGAACAGGACTGTTTGAAAATTAGTCTTCATGTATTTTTCTGCCCAATGCAGCCGTTTCTACTTGTTCGCATTGGTTAGTGGTGGCCGAATAGAAGGTTTATGCACAGTTGCAAGACTCTGGAGGACTCTACACCTTGATGGCCGTGGGACTCCAGAGGCACCAGCAGCTTCAAATATCTGTTTGCTGCTATGTAATGGTATTTTAGCAGCTGCTCTCTTGATCCGATGCATGGATCTGGCAGAAATCTTCCTCAATGTGCCTTTATCTGCACGAACCCGTCTGTGCTCTGAATCAGCCACAAATCTCTTAATAGTGCGATGATCACGCTTAAGTTTTCGTGAAATATCTAATGTTTTCATACCTCGTCCAAGGCATTGAACTACTTCACTCTTTTCGGCAGCAGAGAGATCCTTTTTCTTCCCATCTTGCTTGAAAATGGTGCTCTGCTTAATAATGTGGAACACCCTCCTTTAGTAGTTTTTCCTTTTAATTGGGCTCATCTGCCAATCTAATTATCACAGGTGTCCGAGATTGTTTTCAGTGATCAAAAGAGCCCTGACACACAATGCCATCCATGAGTTAAACTGAAAAACAAAATATTTAATCTTTGTGACACTTAAATAGAATTTGCTTAATAATTTGGAACAGGGTATATACAGCCGATCTAAACTCTACACTCCTCCTACCACTCCATCCCCCACAGCCACTTCCTCCTGTACCACTATCCCCTCCCTCCTAGATTGTAAGCTCGAAAGAGTAGGGCCCTCGAACCCCTCGTGTTTTGTCTTGTTACTGTATTGTCTCATGTACTGTCCACCACTATAATGTACAGCGCTGGGCAAACCTTTTGGCACTATATAAATAATGTATAATAATAATATATGAGTGTCTAGAGCACTCCAGCAGCTCTAACGGTTGAAAAGGGATATATGCAGGCCCTATGATGGCTACAAGTACCCTACTATAGAGGAGTTCTGTAGAAACCAGTTTCAAAATGTTTACACTGCTAAAGGTTAAAGTGTAATTCCAGTTAAATTCTCACTATGGCTAAATCTACTTTCATCCCATTCTAAGATTATTCTGTCTACCCTGTAGAAAAAGAAAAGATATCTGTACTTACCTATTCTGAAGCTGCTCTTGTCTGGTCGTGATTGGGCTCCAGCTCCAGTGTTCGTTGTCTCTCCTCTACACTGAAGCCAGCGCTGACAGCAGATCATGTGATCGGACTGAAGCAGCTTCAGACTAGGTATAGACCTCTTCTTTTATAGGGTAGTTCCTCTACTGTTACCTTAACTACTCTTAAAATCAGATTACATGCAGCTTGTTCATCCTAAGTTTTTCTTGGCTCAATGTTTTACTGGAAAGTATATGATCATTTGTTTCTGACATGGCTCCCAGGTATTGGCTTTTCTCCCGCTGTTAGTGAAAACTGTGGATTAGAATTCTTTATTTTTCTTAGTCATAATGCAAACCAAAATATTTGTTTTGCATTGGTGGCAGGCACAACACTGACATACACTGCCATCTGTTATTCAGAATACTAGTCGCCTGGGTGGCTCTGGCTGCAGTATTTTGAGTCGCTGCCGAAGACAAAATAAAATCAGAACTCCTGCTATGCATATTTGTTGCTGGTCTGTGACTTACGGTTTTGAAGGCATGGATCAGAATGACAGCCAGCCAAATTTTCATCAGTTGACGTTAGTCTTGGCATCCTCAATATTCTCCCACTACAGGTTTCCTAAAAGTAAACCATTCCTGAGAAAGATATGGAGGCTACCTTTGCTACTTGTCGTTCTGTGCATTCTAGTTTCCTGGCTGTCCTGTTTGCTCTCTTGCTTCAATAATTTGGGTCCCTTACTTGGAACCAAAATGAAAAAAGATATTTACAGGATATGCATATTGTTCCAGGTAAGTGACCTTCCTGATTCCAGCCAACTAGCATCTTCAGAGGGAGACTGATAATGGCAGCCGGTGTGTGTGTGTCTCATGAAAGGTTTACTTTAAAGTAATAATACACCCTCAGTTTTTTAAGCATCTCTTTAATCCTTGCCATGTTCCATTTTAAGCTGGTGCCATGATTGCTGGCTCAGGTTTCCTGTTTCAGGGTGGCTCCCGTTCATTGATGGCATATAATGGAGCCACCCTTGCATGCAGGGACTAGAGTTGTGTTTCCCTACACTATGTTCATCAATAGAAGCCCATAGCCTAGAATCGCAAGGCACTCCCCTGCTCCTCCCTTTTCCAAGCTATAGCAACAGCCTGACCATAAAGTGCATTGTCCACTGTTGAATTTTTCAGTGAAGACTGAATATTCAGGGAAGCAGCATTAAGAGCCTGGAGCTTTGAAATGTTTAAACTGCAAGTGCTTAGTTGGAATTTTAACAAATAGTTTACTGGGGGATGTGTACTGTATTTTTCGCTCCATAAGACACACTTTTTTCCCCCAAAAAAAAGGGGGAAAATGTCAGTGCATCTTATGGAGCGGCCGGTCCGGTATTTCCACCGCCGCCGTGTCAGAATACCGGGCCGGCCGCTCAGCTCTGCAGCGGGACCTTATGGAGATGACTGCTGACCTTTGGGGAGGTGGGGAGCGGGTACCTGAATTTGACAGGTACCCGCTCTTACTTCCGCGGAGTTGTTCTTTGATCTTACCTGTTCCTCTATCCAGCGGTGCGCTGTCTTCCCGGCTTCTGTAGTGTGGGCGCCAGCCGGGTGCCAAGTGCGCATGCGCAAGAAGCGGTGCTTTTTGTGAATGGTAAGGCGGTACCTGGGACACATGACAGATCCCAGAAGCCGCCGGACCAAACACAAAGCGCAAGTGCTTCTCGCTCATGCACACTGGGCACCCAGCTGTAATGCCGAGCGCCATTACAGAAGCCGGGAAGACAGCGCGCGGCTGGATCGAGCAACACGTAAGATCAAAGAACAACTCAAAGTAAGAGCGGGTACCTGTCAAATTCAGGTACCCGCTGCCCAAAGGTCAGCAGTCATCTCCTGTACTGTCCGCAGTCTCTGGTCATCCCTGTGCTGTCCGCAGTCTCTGGTTATCTCCTGTACTATGTCTGCAGTCCATTAGTTCAGAATTTTTTTTCCTGTTTTCTGTCTCTAAAACCTAGGTGCATCTTATGGTCAGGTGCGTCTTATGGAGCGAAAAATATGGTATTTTATTGTGCTCACTGTGTTATCCAAAAAAAACACTGAGGGTTTAATAGTACTTTGCAAGATAAATCATCTTTTATAGTTTACCAAAAACTGAGTAAATATTGTGTTTGTGTGCACTAAAATTT